CCCTCCCCTGCCTCCCCACCCTGCTGCAGCCCCAGTGCCGGCAGACATGCACGTCCGTGCACATGCACACACACGTACACACCTTGCCCCCGACCAAGTCCTCCAACCCCCACCCTATTGACTTTCCTGCCTGATCTGCAAATGAATGGGGATGCTTAAATGCATGTTGGGGCTTTTTTGGCAATGATTTTTCAGCAGAAATATTAGAAACTGAAATGCCTCATGGAAATGTACCAGTTTAGGTGAAATTTTCATTGTGGGAGGATTTCTTTTGTCACGTGTGATCTTTCTGGCCAGAGAAAGACCAAATTTTCCCAAAATAACCCATGTTCCACTCCGTTCCATCACAGGTTTGAGGCTCATTCTTTTTTTACTGCGATTAAGGATTTTACTCTGCCTCCCATATCCCAGGTGAATGCCATGGCTACAGGGCTCTCAGATTGGTCCCTATTGGTGTCCCAATGATTGTTTAATTATTTATGCTAACTGGAACAGCTTGCAGTGGGAAAACTCAGAGACACCTACCCCAGAATAGCCTGTGTGTTTGAGGCACACACCTGGGATGTGGGTGACTTGGATTAAAGTCCTTTCTTTGTCTGGGGAGGAGCAGGCACTTCAGCCTATGCCACTCATGAGCTGGATGAGCGTTTTGAACAGTGGCACTTACCCCCTCTCTGCTTTCATATGAAAGTTCAAAAGATCTCTGTTCAGATCCCAATGCTGAATAGGAAAGATTTTTCATGACAGATTTTTTTCCCCTTCCCAGTTCTACTAAGTGCATGCTGTAAAGTGCTTTCAAATCTACGAGAGTTGACCATTAAATGTTATATAACTTTTCCTTCTACTGGCCATTTTAAAATTTTTTTTTTGCCATGCTGTCTATAGTTCTCTGGTTTATTTTGATCCAATTTTCTTTAATTAATGTTATGCCCTTTTTTGCAGCATTCCAGATACTCTTCGGGTGCTGAAAAACAACCTTTTTTTTTTAAGTATTAATTTAAGCCAAAGAATACAAAGGTTCAACTTGAAGCCATCCAAATGTTGGATGCGCTGCCCCTCTTCTGACCAAGACAATTAGGGGAGCAAGGAGGTAATGGAAACACAGCTGTGCTTGCTGTTGTAACAATAACAGCAAAACAAGAGTTTGTCTGAGCTGCATATTAATAATACTTAGGCCTTAATGATGTTTTGAATTTTCAAAGTACGTGGCCAATGTTAACTAATTAATTCTCACAGCCTTCCACTCCCTGCGAGGGATGGAGGGATTAACTGTATTTTACAGATGTGGGAAACGGAATCAGAATGAGGTTAAGAGACTAGCCCAAGGCCACAGAAAAGAATCAATATCAGAGCTACAATTCGAGGTTGAGTGTTTCTGGCTCCTGGTCCAGTGCTTAGACCATGGGGCCCCCTTCTTGTGCTGTCAGATACATACCCACGATTTCATTACTGTGATAGTACTACATCAATCTCTATAACAGGTCCTTTGTCCCAAAGAGTGGCACAAAAGGGCTTGCAAATGCAAGGGGCCTCTGCTTTATGGCAGGATTCATTTCTAAAATGCACTCGAGGCTGAAGGCACTGATGCAGTGTCATCCTGTCATGCCACTTCAGGACCATGCAAGTTTTCGGGGTGAAGCATAGGGCGGCAGGAAGTAGGTTCTCGGTCTCTTCTTCCAGAACGCAGGGCTTGTCCAGGCCTGACACTGCCCTGTATTGTGTATCCATGTCCCCCTGGGATATGCAAGAAAACTGAAGTGACTCTACTGACGGTGCGAAGTCCACGTGCATCTATATAGCTGCTCCCATTCAAGAATAAAGTTGCAGTTATAGACTAGACAGACACAAAACTTGTGCGGGAGAGTATTTTTGTGAAGGGGTTTGACTTATGCCTACCAACTTCATGTATTCATTTGATTCACCCTCCCTTTCTTGGGTGTCCCTGTTTAAAAGTGACCTCAGCTCTGAAGTTTTGCTATACTTATGCACTCTGATCAGCATAACTGGCTTAGTTAGCTCTGGTTTAGCAGCTATTTTATTTCCTGAGTTCAAACATAAAAGCAAGGTTGAGTTTATTCTGTGGACTATTGACTGGGGTCAGAAAACTGAGCAGAGAACATGAGCTCGTTGGGACAGGGCCATCTTTTTTTTCCTCTGCTTGCACAGCTGTTAGCACAGTGGGTTCCTGATCCAGGCCTGCTGCTCCTAATTGCTATTAAAATATGAATAATAACCAGGGAAGGGGTGGAGTGGCTAATATAGGTACCTGTAGCAAAGTAGGCAAACTAGTTGAGCTAAAGCAGAGAAATTTTCTAAGGGAAAATGCAGAACACCTGAAAGTGGATGGTAAAAAGCAATTTTGATGCACAAGGGATACTGTTCAGGGTGTAAATAAGCAAGACAGAACAGCAAGTTGCCAAAATCTATTGGCCAGCAGCAGACGGAGAGACTAGTTACTAGCACTTTAAGTCTAAGCAGAGTGCAATGCATAGCACCACCATGGTCCCTGCCTAAGGAATCCTTACTAGAATTGCTGGATCCTGGAGTGGAAGTAAGGGGAAGAAGAAAAGCCTGAGAATCTAAAATTGCAAGGCCTGAAAGTCATTGAGTTGAGGCAGAGGGGTAGGAGACGAGGGTTATGAATATGTATGCAGTGGCTCCCAGTGCAAATTAGAGGGGAGCCCAGGACATCAAGTTTGTATCAAAGTCAAGGGGCGTTTAGATCTGGGGTCTTGGGTTTGACTATCTTTCTACTCTAACATATGTTTCTGGTCTAACATACACATTTCTGGTCCGTATTGCTAGAGTTCTCACAAACCATTCTGCTTTGAAGCAGCAGGTTGGGGGTGTTTTGGGTTCAAACTTGTTGAAATATTTTACCAAAATGAGGTCAAAGCCCTAAAGAACGATCGATCACAGGGCCTTGTCATTTTTCTCCCCCTTAATCCCTCTTGAATAACTTTAGACTTCAGCGTGGAATTCATATATCTGACTTCTTGTGGTAGCAATAAAATACTCCTTAAAATGCGCAATCCCAGAATATATATAAAAACCGTAAAGGCTTGCATGTAAACGTCCTTTTGAAGCAAGTTTAAGAGCAGATTTGTTAATGTTTAACATCTTCATCAGTGTCATTCTTTGTAAATTTGCACTAATTAAGTCCAAAGGGACAAAATGATAGATTATGCATGTGTCGTGGTGCCAGAACGAATAAGCCGATGATCAGTTTGCTTTTGGCATTTTTTTCTGTGGTGTAAGATTTTCTGATTTTAATCAATTTCTGAAATACAGGTAAGTAATTAAACTTTTATACCAAGCTATCAGGGGACATCTTTTTATTTATTTTTTTATTATTATTCTCTGCTGCAAATGGACTACAGCCTACCCGTTTTAGGGGCCCAATCCAAAATCCATTGAAAAGCAAAGGAGAGACTGCAAAGAAAAGCAAAGGAGAGTTAATTTCATAGTCTTTAAATAAAATCCTAGTGGAATTGTCTGAAGTAAAGAGTAAAGGCTGAATCGTACAGCCTGCTTGATGATATAAAAATCACAGGATGCAATAGGAGACGGTGGCTCTAGCTTCACCATTTGCTTTTGGGTTTCATTTCTCATCTGAAACGTAACTCCTTTTTTGGCTGTTATTCTAACCCCATTCTTCCCTTTGTTGAATCCTCCCATCAGATCCCCCCCTTTTGTTTCCTTCATCAAATTCAAGGGGCCTTGCAGATGCTGTGGAATTAAAAATGGAGACTCTCTTCAAACGTGAAGCCGGACCTAATCCTTCGGAGACCAGAGGCTGACTTGCAAGCATTCGCTTAGCTCGCAGGCTGGAAGATATTGGGTCTCGGTGGGTTCATGCATCACACAAGCACTAAGGCCAGATATGGACATTACATTTTTTCCTGCAGAAAACTGCAGGAACTGGTCTATGCCCCTAACAAAACAGAAGTTTGGCGCACATAGACTGGTTTAAAAATGTCAGCCCCCGATCTAAGATTTGCTCCCCCCACCAAAGGGAGAATGTGTGTTCAGTTCGCTACTGATCCCAACCACACCACTTACAGAAAACTATATAACTTGGATTGATCTCCGCCTTGGGCTTTTTGAATATCTGCATGTCAACTGAGAAACTGTCTGCAGCAGAAAGTGGTGCCGTGTTACAGTTTAATACAATTTGAGTGAGAATATCTTTACTATACCGCAGGCAGTAACACAGCCGTGTCGAATCTCTAACAGTAAACACAAGGCCAAACTCTGAGTGGATTTTTAATGGCTTTTTATTGATTGGGGGGGGGGGGAGTTCATCGAAACTGTAGCTAATTTTCGTCATTTTGTTAGAAATTTGACTGCAGGATAGAAATAATCACTGCTTCAAGCTTAGACATGGCTTATAAGTGTTGATGCTAATAAACCGATTAGCATATGTTTTTCCTTGGCATTGTAAAGCTGGGATGTTCCTTTGTAAGGCCACTTGATGTGGTAGTCATTTGGGCTAATTGGCTCAGGGATAACATTGGATTTCTGCAAGGAAGGTGCTCAGTTCCCCACAGGGCAGATGGGATTTGAACATGCCAGTTCTCAGCACTGCGCCTGTATTCATCCCACTCTGCTGGTTTTCTCCCTTTATTCTGAACAATCCTTCCAAAATAAGCAAGTTCGGGATTTTCAAAATGACCTCTGGGGGTAGGTGCCTGTTTCCTATTGGACTTCTATCAGGATGGGGTTGGTCAACCCAGTTCAGCCTTTTTGAAGATTCCTAAACAGAGTGGAAAGCGCAAAATCCCAACTGTCAGATTTTGATTGCACCAAACTTCAGCTGATAGCTACGATTTTCATTCCTTCATCCCGTCATACACATAGATGACGGGAAGTGTAAAGTGCTCCATCTGGGGAGGAAAAATCCGCAACCAACTTACAGGCTCGGTGCTAGGCTAGCTAGCACCACATCTGAAAGGGACCTGGGGGTTATAATCGGCCATACAATGAATATCAGCCACCAGTGTGATGCTACAGTTAGCAGAGCAAACAATACACTGGCATGCATCAACCGATGCATCTCAAGCAAAACTAAGGAAGTTATTCTTCCGCTGTACTCAGCATTGGTGAGGATACAGTGTCCAGATCTGGGCGCTGCACTTCAAGAAGGATGTGGAGAAGTTTGAGAGAGTGCAGAGAAGAGCCACTCATATGATTAGAGGCCAGAAGAGCAAGCCATACGAGGAAAGGCTGAAAGATATGGGATTGCTCAGCCTAGAAAAGAGAAGACTCCGGGGGGATTTGGTGGCAGCTTACAAATGTATCAGCAGGAGCATCAGGGGCTAGGCGAACAACTATTCACCAAAGTGCCCCAGGGGAAAACCGGGAGCAGCAGTCATAAACTCCTAGAAGAAGGTTTCAGAATGGATATAAGGAAAAACTTCATGGTTCCTGTGACCAGACTCTGGAAGAGACTCCCAGTGGGGGTGGTGCGGGCACCTATCCTGGAGATCTCCAAAAGGAGACTGGACACACACCTTGCTGAGGCGATTTGACCCCAGCCGTCTTTCCTGCCCAGAGCAGGGGGGCCGGACCTAATGATTTCACAAGGTCCCTTCCGGCCCGAAATATCTGTGAATCTGTGAAGCCGCAAAGCAAAACTTGCATCCAAATCTAGGACCAGAACTAGGGCTGTGGTTACTTTTTGGCGTGGAGGTGTGTGTGCACGTGTGTGAATAGCTGTGTGTTTTCTGTTTGGCATCGAACAATCCCTAAAAAAAAATGACCGATGAATGCTTGAAAGCAGAATTTTGAAAAAGAAAATAGCACCAAGTCCTTGCCCTTCTTTCCAAATACGACTATTTTTAGTTTATATGATTAGAAACAGAGGCCTGTGGTTGACTAAATCCTCTATGATGTATCTGTTGGGATGTAAAGGTGTGAAGGAGATCTGAGTGTCATTATGCTCTTTTTAAGTTCTCCAGCAAAATCCACAGGGTTGGAGCTTTCAAGGAATTCAGACAGAAGGAATGTGAACGGAGACATTTAAAGCATTTAGGGCAAGGAGGGGAATGTGCTGAGGGAGCAAGGAGCTGCTACTGTTTTCCCTCTGAAGGTGATAGCAAATGGTGACAGGGTGATAAAGCCTTCAGGGAGACCATGCAAGAGGCAACAAGCCGCAGTGCTGAAGCCTTCAGATTGTCTGAAGATCACCCGAGCAGCTTGCCTGAAGGTCAGTCGTAACATTAGTTTTTGCCTCCATCCAGCGTTCGCTCAATGGCCCTGTTAACGTGTGTCCACTCAGACGTTTGTTAAAACTCACAGTTTTCCTAAAGAGAAAGAGCAAATAGCGGTATCCTCAGGGTGCAGGTGGATGCAGTGCTTAAAAGGATCTATGTAAGCTTTAAACCTCAAGAGTCTAGATGGGCACACCACTTAAGACCAGTTTAAATTTCCTGGATTTTTTCAGAAGCATACTGGGAAAACAGTACTGTTTCAAGCTGGTCCCCATTGAACCATTTCAGTGTTATGTAGGGACACACAGGACTGTGTGGCCCACTGCTTGTGGTGACCAAGGGGCTGGGTGCTATGGACCCTCTCCCTAGATCTCTGCAGGTCTCAGCCTCTGCGTTGAAAAGAGACTTGCCAATCCAGCACCTTGCTAGAGCCCTGCACTCTGGGGTTCACAGGCTCATTTGGGGTAGCATCTCCTCCACTGCCACTCCCACCCTTACCCTAAATAAGCCTGGGATCCTGCTGAGTGGGGTGCATTTACTGCCATTGGATCCAGCCTGCCCCTCCAACTCCCATCCCAACACACCTCAGCCTCAGGAGGAGCTAGAGGCAGAAGTTGCATATAAACTGGTTGAAGTGGTCAGAAACTGGTTTAAACCTGTAACAAAACAGAAGATCAGTGCATGTAAACCAGTTTTAAAATGGCTGAAACTGGTTTAAGATAAATCTGGCTGAATGTAGTATTAGGCTTAACTGATTTAGCCTGATTGCATGCTTTGCAACCCTGGGCTGGACTGGTCTCTGCTGTCTGCTCCAGAGAGCAGGGCTGGCCCTGCCTCTCTGCTCCCTAGCTGGAGCAGTGAGGGCTGCCTCACTGTCCCCCAACCCCCAGGCAAACCCGGTAAGGCAAACTTACCTTCCCCCGAGTACAGAGCTGCCCTGCCTGCTAGTTTACATAGTGCTGGCTGTGACTGTGGACTACAAATCCCAGAGGCACCTGGAAGTAGGAAGAGGAAGTGATGAGCAACCCAGCAGAGTCCTGCTGCTGTGGTTGTAGACTGCAAATCCCAGAGACCTCGGGAGCAGCAGGAAGAGGAACTGAACACACAGACCATGCTAACTACTTGCCAGAAAGCTGTGCTCTAGCTATCCCCAGCTTCTGGCTTAAGCCACTGAAGGCATGTGGCTGCATTTCCTGAATCAAAAGTGATTGTCTGGTTATTTGCTTATTGGTTCAGTCTTTGCAGTTTACAATAACCTACAATGACTGAATCAATTCAGCCTCAGGCTTTTTGACCGTCTGTATGCAGCCTTGAAGGCTAAAATCAAGTTGATGTAGTTGAGGGTGGAGACGTCCCTTGCACTTCAGGCAGGCCCCTCTGCAAGAGTCTACTATAGCCTCCCAATGGGAGGATCTCAGCTACATATCTTATGGCAATGGGGAATTGCTTTTGGGCTTTCCCTCTAGCTTGCTCCTTTGGCCTTTTGGCTGGAAGCAAGCAAAAGTAGGGGGCATCTGCATGAATGACTCATGCCCCCGGCGGCTGCGGGGGCACAGTGGTGCCAGGAGTGCGGCAGCGGGAGTGGTGGGATCATGGTGGCGGTAAGCGGGGGAGCTCCCACAGACACCACTGGTGCTGTTAGTGTGGGTGTGGGAGGGTGGCGAGCGCCAACCAAGGTTCAGCGATCACCCGCAGCTGCTGCTGGCAGCGGCAGCAGCAGCCAGCAGGGATTGCAGACCATCCACAGACGCCGGTGACTGCCACACACAGGGGGTGCATGTTCACCCACGTGCACCCCCTACGCACCTCCCTGGGCATCTGAACTCCAAGGCTTCTGGGTTTGGGGCTTGCACATAGGATGCCTGCCATGGATTTAGGAGTATCTGAAGCCCCAGGCTGAAGAGTCTGGGAGAGAAGATACTTGCTGGTGGTAGACAGATTTGAACAATTGAGCTCTGATCAGTCAGTGGAATTCAGAACTGATATGGCTAATTAGGCCCTAGACTTAATAATTACCCCCCTCCCCCCTCAAAAGAAAGCAAACCCATGAACCCATCAGGATTTACCACATAGCTTTGGTAAAGTGGAATTACATTTTTAAAAATGCTTTAAGTCTTTTTAATTTAATTTAATTTAATTTAATTTAATTTAATTTAATTTAATTTAATTTTGCAGAAGGTGGAGCAGAAATTGCAATTGTGGGCCGTGACATCTTGCTCTTTCTCAGCCAGCAGCCAATCCAGCCTCTCTAGTGGAATCTAGAGAAATTCCAGATTGCGGATGGCTTGATTGTCTAGATACTCGACCCCCCACATAGCCGTTCGGTACTAATGTAGTCCCTAAAGGGGGGCGGTTCTACTTAGTACGCTTAGAATGCGGGTACTTCTGATCGGTGACGCATGTGAACCGGTTCCCCGTCCGTGACACTCTTGGAACAGGTTGAGGCAGAGACGTGAAGTCACTTGGCCAAGGTCTCAACACATCTCAATTTCTTAGCCAGGATTTCTAAATCTCACAGCTCTGCTCTGACTGCTTGCAGGGCAAGCTGTAATCTGATAACGCTGTTCCTAAGCACAGAAAGAAGGGATTAATATGTTTGCTGTGTTTTAGCAACACTTGATGAAGGCTTTGTTTGATTCAGCATCAGGATTAAGTCAGACAGAGAACTCTGGATTGATTTCTGAAGAAACCAGGCTGTCATAAGATCTTTTTTTTTTTGGTCTTTTAAAACAGAAGCCTGGTTAAAAAAGAGAGGCATATGTTCTCTTGATGTTTCCATATTTATAACATCTTTTATTAACAATGTTCATCAGACGCACATACCTATAAGGACCTTTTCATTCTCTTCAGCTCCAGGATTTAGCTAATAAAACAAATCATCCAAACGCGTTAATCTGTAGTATTGGACAGTTGTGAGATTACTGCTGCTGCCCTATAAACCATCCCAGCCTTAGCCAAGTGGCACTTTATAGGCAAGCAGTGGGATTCTGTTGCTGACATTTCATTTCAGATCATATTGAGTGGTTTCCCCTACGTCCTGTAAATTCAGGAATTAATGCTAATTCATTTAACCCTCTGCGAGGTCACTTTTATGCTGCTTGTTTTATGAAGGACAAAACACTTTCAATTAAAAAAACCAACAAAAGCTTGAGAAAAATTATGCTTTACAGGGAGATCAAGATATAACCATATCCATAACCATTAACCATATATATTGTGTTTA